CTTTCCTTTGCTTTGTCCTTTTACCTTCCCTCCTCTTCCTTTCCTACCCCCCCCTCTCCTCCCCTCCCCACCCTTCCCTTCCCCTCCCCTCCCCTCCCTTCCCTTCCCGTCCCCTCCCTTACCTTCCCCTCCCCTCTCCTCCCTTTCCCTCCCCTCCCTTCCCCTCCGCTTCTCTCCCCTCCCCACCCCTCCCCTTCCCATCCCTTCCCTTGCTTTCCCTTCAGTTCCTCTCTGCCTTTCTCTCTTTCTCGCTTTCTTTCATCTCACTCTGTGGCCCAGGCTGTAGTGCAGTGGTGTTATCTCGGCTCAGGCTGCTGTGCAGTGGAACAGTCTCGGATCACTGCTATCTCTGCCTCTCGGGTTCAAGATATTCTCCTGCCTCAGTCCCCCACGTAGCTGGGACGACAGGCATGTGCCACCACACCGGGCTAATGTTAGTATTTTTTCTTATTAACTTTATTTATTTTACTTTACGTGCATATTTTATCTGGCATTCCTCCCTATGTTATCCCTCCCCACCCTCCCCTCCCTCCTGACCCTCTGGCCACAACTCTGGATTGTGTAAGCCACAAGCCTTCGCAGTGTCTACATGGTATCAAGTCAGTGCATGGAATGAAAGAATGAAGGAGGTTTGGAAGCCTTCCCCTAGATCTCAGAGGATGTATGAGGAAACCTAGGTGCCCAAGAGGAAGCCTGCCGCAGAGGGAGAACCCTCACAGGGAGACTACTAGGTAAGTGCAGAGAGCAAATGTGGGGTTGGATCCCCCTCTAAGAGTTCTCCCCACAAGCACACTGCCTAGTGAAGCTGTGAAAAGGGGGCTGCTGCCCTCCAGACTCCAGAATGGTATACTGATGGGCAACTCGCATCCCGAGCCTGGAAATGTTACAGGCACTCAACTCCAACCAGTGATAGCAGTCACAGGGCTGCAACCTGCAAAGCCACAGGGATAGAGCTGCCCAAGGCCTTAGGGGCCCAATCCTTGCCCCAGCATGCCCTGGATGTGGGACATGGAGTCAAGGAGATTATTTTGGTGCTTTCAAATTTAATGCCAACCCTGCTGGGTTTCAGACTTGCATGGGGCCTATAGCCCTTTTCTTTTGTCCACGTTCTTGCTTTCGAAATGGTAGTGTTTATCCAACGCCTGTACTGCAATTGTATCTTGGGAGCGAACAACTTGTTTTGATTTTATAGGCTCATAGGTGAAAGATGAGGCTCAGATGAAACGTAAGACTTTGAACTCGATGCTGGAACGAGTTAAGACTTTTGGAGACTATTGGTATGGTGTAACGGGATTTTTCAATGTGAGATAAACATGAGATTTGGGGGGCAAGAGGTGGAATTACATGGTTTGTAGGTTTGTCTCCTCTAACTCTAATTTTGAAATGCAATCCTCAGTGTTGGAGGTGGGCCTGGTGGGTGGTGTTCGGATCATGGGGAAAGATCACTCATGAATGGATTAGCACCATCCCCTTGGTGATGAGTGAGTTTTCATTCTGAGTTCACATGGGCTCTGGTTGTTCTGGTTGTTTAAAAGAATGTTCCCCACCTCCCTTGCCACCTTGTTCCCTTTTTCACCGTGCCATGTACCTTCTGTGCCTTCACCTTAAGACACTAGTAAAAGCTCCATGAGGCCTCTCCAGGAGCCGAGCAGATGCCAGTACCATGCTCGCACATCCCACAGAGCCATGAGCTAATAAAAGCTTTCTTTACAAATTACCCATCCTCACGTACTTCTTTATAGCGATGCAACAGACAAACACAACTGTCCTAGCTATATCTTCTGGACAACTTGCTGCAGCACTTGTTGCTTTACCTTGAACTTTTGTGTTATGGAGATGGCTTCTTTCCTTACACACGATGAACCAACCTCTGCTAGCTTAATAATGTTCTTCTGCAGCTTGCTCCCCTCTCACAGCCTTCACAGACCTGGAGAAAGTTAAGGCCTGACTTTGGATTAGGTTTTGGCTTACGGGAATGTTGCGGTCCGTTTGATCTTCTATGCAGACCACTCAAACTTTCTGCATATCAGCAACAAGGCTGTTTCAGTTTCTTATCATTTATGTGCTCACTGCAGTAGTACTTTCAATTTCCTTCAGGAACTTTTCCTTTTCATTGACAACTTAGTCGATTATTTGTCACAAGATGCCTAGCTTTGGCCTATCTCAGCTTTTTACATGTTTTCCTCACTAAGCTTAATCATTTCTAGCTTTTGATTTAAAGTGAGAAACATGTGACTCTTCACTTGAACAGTTGGAGGCCACTGTTGGGTTATTGATTGGCCTAATTTCCATATTCTTGTGTCTTAGGGGATAGGGAGGCCAGAAGAGAGGGAGGCAGACACAGGAATGGCTGGTGGGTGGGGCACCGAAAAATCACACAACATCGAATAAGTTCATCGTCTTATACTGGACACAGTTCACAGTGTGCCAAAACAATTACTACGGTAACATGAAAGACGACCGATCACCTCTTGCTTGTAATCACCAGTCACCTCTTGCCTGTAATCCTAGCCGCTCAGGAGGATCACTTGAGGCCAGGAGTTCCAGACCAGCCTGAGCAACACAGCAAGACACCACCTCTGACAAAATTTTACCAAAAATAGGCTAGCCGGGTGCAGTGGCTCAGGCATGTGACCCCACATACCTGGAGGCTGGGGTGGGAAGATCCCTTGAACCCAGGAGGCTGCAGCGAGCTATGATTGCCCTACTGCACTCTGGCCTGGGTAACAGAACAAGGCTGTCTAAGAAAAATGAAAAGATCATCAATCACAAATCACCATAACAGATAAAATTATAATGGAAATTTGAACTATGGCAAGAATTACCAAAATGTGGCATGGAGACATGAAGTGACCATATGCTGTTGGAAAAATGGTGCTGATAGACTTGGTTATTGCAGAGTTGTCACAAACCTTCAATTTGTTTAAAAAAAAGAAGCAGTATTTGTAAAGCACAATAATTGCAAAACGTATTAAATGAAGTGCAATAAAACAAAATATACCTCTACCACATGAGCTTCATTGAGAGGGAGACAGCGAGAGAGAGACAGAGAGCGAGGGAGAGAGGAAGACAAGGAGGATGACAAAGAGGAAGTTGCCCCCAGCCAGGACTAGGACGAGCTGGAGAGGCTGCGTCCTCCATCTGTAGGGTCACACTGAGGCCTGAGCGCTCCTGCAGGAAAGCAAGCCTTTCCAAATAATGTCTCTGTGAGACCGGAGGATCTTCTTTTCTTCCGGGCAGGTTTGGATTTGGGGTGGATTTTGGTTTTGTTTCCCTCCTCTCTACTTTTTAAATGGTGTTCTTATCTTTAATTCACTTTCAGCCCTCACCCCTGGTTGTCATCTTTCTTGATCAACATCTTTTCCCTATACCGTCCCCTTCTTTCCCCAGATCTCTTCGCTACCCTCAAACCCAGGGATCGGCAGTGTGGACAGGAAGTCACAGGTCTGGGACTCAATCTGCTCTCCTTCCTGGAGCCTGGATCAGGCCAGGAGAAGGAGATGGTGTTTCCCCAGCCCCCCAGCACTGAGGAACAATGGGGTTCATACCACTTCACCCTTCCCTTTCTTTCCTGCTCCCAGGACTGGGCCACTTTTGGGTCAGTGGACCCTAGCTCAGCTCACACTGAGAATATAAGAATGTGTGCATGTGTGTGTGAAGTTCAACTTCTCCCTTTAGGGACCTATAATTCCTTCTGATGGCAAAGGTCCAAGTCTAAGTAACCAGGGGTTTACTCAGTCCCAAGCATATGGGGGAGGTTGCATCAATCAGGGTTCCATCGGAAAAACAAACACTCCGGTTGAACAAATATAAGATAATACACATATAGGGGGTAATACACATATAAGCGGGGACTTCTAATAGGGTCCATGCCTTATTAAAATGTGAAAGCCAGTTAATCAGTCTCAGCAAGGTTTCTGTCTTTGCATCAGATGCTAAAACCCAACGTCAGCAGGGAAGTCGGGAAGAGATGATGCAAAGTAGAGGAAGCAAGGGGAAAAGGAATCCATTAGAAATATCTGAGCTCACAAGGACTGTCTGGGACCCATGTCGATCTTTCACTGCCTCTAAACCTCCAATTTCAATATCATCGATGCCCTGCCAAAACAAAAAGTGGTATTCTTTTCTGATGGAGCTGGTGAAGAAGAAGGAAGATATGAGGGAGAACTGGAGCAGGTGTGGGCATAGATGCTGCCCCACACCACCAAGGTAAGCCAGGATAGAAGCAAAAATGTTCATGAGCCGCAGCAGCACCTCTCTAAGCATAAAGAATAAAATAAATGTGGCTACTACTTGACCTTTGCCTCCCAAATCTTTTACCAAATGCCTCTTGTATCACAAGCAATCTCGGACCCATTCAGGGAACTTGGAGGAAACTTTTAGTTTAGCTAAGTGAGCAGAATATAAATCCCCCACAGAGGCAGAACTTCCAAACCGCAGGTGGAAAAATAACTGCATAATTTATCTGCTTTCACTTTTGCTCACACTGACACCGGGTGTCACTTGGAATCCCAAACCATTTTTTAAATGTTTTGTTAATATTATTGCTGGTATGCATCCCATGAAGTTATACAGGGGGCCCAAACTTGGAATTCTAGTTTATAACTCTCTTCATATGCCTATAAATTCTCTTTTCGGACTCTTAGGATCCTTTCCTGACAGCAGAGCTTGGTAGGGGCTTCTTGAGGCTCCCAGACCCCAGGGCAGTTGTTCCTAGCTTTGGATCTCAGTGAGCACAAACTTCAGTCAAGTTGTGTTCCAACCGAAATTCTAATCTCGTTACGCAAATTATATTTTCCCAAGGAAACAGAGATAATACTTATCTCAAGAAGTATTACCAAAGAAAAGCCATTGTCAAGACACAGGATGTTTCATTACATCCTTCTTTTCCAAGAAAAGACGGCAGCGAATGGTGCGGCGTGGTTCATGGGTGCTGGGGGAAAGGTGATCTTCTAAATTCATTCATACAAATGACACATACAAAATAAAGATGAATATATTTATTGGTCAGTAATTGGACATCCAGTATCCTTATTTAATATATATTAAATAAGGCTTAAAAGAATTTTTAAAGCAATTTAAGCAGCAAAGAGAAGTTTAAGCAATGTGAGCATGTCAAATAGGATTTTTCTACCAACTACACCAAATGGTTATGTGACAGCATAAACAATTTTTACAGCAACTTGTTCTTAAAAGTTAATTAAAATGTATTTTCAAATATGAGAGATTTTTATACCAGTAGCTGGCACTTATAGGAAATGGCTGTTCCAGGAGGACTTCCTGGAAGGTCACCCTTTGGGAGTTCCCAACCTTAACACTTCAAGAACACTTAATGCACAGAGAAAATGATGTCATGTGATCAGACTTAATTTAGTTCTTACCAGCTACGTTGTACTCAAATTTTTCAAAATTGTTAACATATGGATTCAGAAAATGTAGATAATCTCACATTGTTTATTCTGAGGGGATGAATTATCTGATTAGAAATTAATTTACACACTACTCATCTTTTCCCTCTCTCAGACTGTGTGTGTGTGGCCAAGTGTCAGTATCAACAGAGCAAAACTATAGTTTGTCTTATTTTACTTCTAAAGAAGAAACATATTTTTGAAATTTTCAGGTCAACTGAAGAATTTGATCTTCAGAAAAAATTGTTAAAGTTGAAAAAATATAAAACGGTCATCATTTGCAGAATGTCAGAATTGAGTAGATGCATCTAATGAGGCTATTAATTTCTTTAAACAAAATTAGGAAATTTTAGAGGTCAACTATTAGGATACAAAGGAAATGAGGGATAAGTAAGTTGTGTATGCACTCACGTAAGAATAAGGGGTAACAAAAGAGGCATAAGGAAACCATGAGGAAAGAAATGAGAAAGAAGGAATGTGTGAAAGGAAGAAAGGAGAGAGGAAAGAATGGAAGAGATGGTTTTCAGTAGAAATTGTGGAAAGCAGAAGACAAAAAGCAAATCTATTAATCTATTGACAATTCTAAATTAGTCAAACTGCATTGTAAAATCCAGCATACTTAAGTGGCATCTAGCTTGACTGGGTGTGAGGCCTTTGGGATGGTATACATGGCACTCAGTCTTGGCCTTCCTCCTCGGATGTATGTGAGGTGCTGGAAGACTCATCCGATTCTTCTCCTGGGAATCTGGCTCCCCAGCCCTGGTGATGATCTCTCTGTGACAGCTGGCCCCTGAGGAACCAAAGCATGTACTGGACAAACAAGGTGGCATGGTACAAATTTTCTTGATCTCGTTCCCACTTGTTCTTCTTCATCACGTCTTTTAAATCAGTAAGTTCAGTGGCAGCTTCAGCTGTGGGTGTCCAGATCTTGACATCATGATCTAGGCCGCTGGTTGCCAACATAGGTAGGTAAGGGTGGGGTTCAAGACAGTTTATTGTACCTTCTGGGTCATCCTTCAACAACTGGATGATCTGGCAAGATGATTTTTCCCAGAAAAAGATGTGCCCACAATCACTACCGCTCACGACAAACTCACTCCTGGGGCCATAGAAATTAACACCTTTGACTGTGGTATTATTTCTGTGTCCCTTAAATCTCTTTGCATACTGAGCACCATCACCGTGAGAGGAGTTGAAGAGGTAGATATCTTCATCACTGTAGCTGGCCAAGAGCTCCGTGCCATCGTGGCTGTACACAGTGCAGGTGATGCTTGTTGGGAAATCACAATTAACCAGGTGATGAGGAGTGAATTTCTTGAGTACACCGTGGTTTTCTTTCTTGTCAATTCTCCTCTGGTCATAAATCCTGACAAACTGATCTTGTCCAGCCGCTGCAAATTGGTAGGTATTAGCGGGATTCACAGAAATTGTATATAGTCCCACTCTCTTCCCCTTTTCTCTTGTTATCACAATTTTTGAAGCTGGCTGGTGTTGTCTGAGGTCAATGGTGAAGACAACCGCATCTTCACCTGAAGTGAGGAACTTATAAGGAGAGTCTGGCTGCAGAGCCAACTTGTGGGCAGCTCCCTTGTGCTGGGCCACACACTTAGTACTCTCGAAACATGATGCATTCATTAGTTCTGCTACCCGTACCTGCCCATCGCGGGCACACATGGCCAGGGTGGAGTCAGCACTGTTAGGAAGGAACTTGGCCTGTAAGACATTACTAATGTGACCACTGTCAAAGTCCAATACTGGCTTCTGCCGCACCCAGTCCCACACTCTCACCCTTAGGTCATCACCACTACTGGCCAGCCGGGTGCCATGCTGGTTAAAGTGTACAGTATTCACACAACCCGTATGTCCTTCAAGACGATACTGCAGGCAGAAACGCTGCACAAAGGCTCTTGCCCCACAGGCCTCATAGACAAAGCGGGTACTTGAACCCAGCTGCCGTTGGCGAAGAGCAGTAACGGCCTGCCAGCGAGGTGGCGGCAGGGCAGATGTCTCTGAGGAAGTCCACTCCTCCAGCGCCCTATCCTCTAACAAACACTGCTCATGGTCGGTACCACCGCATCGTGGACACATCTGAGCCTGTTCTTCATCCTCTTCCTCCTCTACTACCTCGTCCTCTCTTAGTAAATTGTAATAGAATAGTCTTACATCAGGCGTGAGGAAACGCTCAGAGTCCTCCATGTTCTCAAGTTCGACGTCTTCACTTGAACTTTCTTGGTCAGCGCTTCGATTTTCTGTGCTGGAACCCTTTGGGAAACCACCATCACTGGTATCACTGCCATCTCCAGTCATTCTCATACTCATATCTAAGGTCGCTGTATCAATGTCTGAGGAGGCCTCCATGGCTGCTGCCGCTCCAGACTGCTCCCCTGGGCTGCTGAACAGGGTTTCAATCCCTGAGTCTTGTAAGCCATCTGCGCTGCCCTCTTGGTGCGACATCTCGTAAGATGTATGCCGTGGCCAATCTGGAGCTGGAAAATCCAGCTCCTAAAATCGCAGGCAAGATGGTTGGCCTGCCGGACGGACTGATGGTTGCGAAGGAAGTAAGCGCATGGCTAAAAGGTGCAATCTGATTGGCTAAAGGGAACAAGAAAGGATTCTGCCAAAGCACTTGTCAGTACGGGAGCCTGTGAGGTTCAAAAGGCTTCTTACCCGCTCACCTCCTCGCGGCATGCAGACTGCTCTAGTTTTTCCAGGCCCAGAGCCCCACCCCCATGGACATCTTACACCATGAGTAGCTGCGGGTTTTTGAAGATTGAAACTTGCTGCACCTTGGAAAATGTTCTTATCAGAGAACCATGAGCAAAAGTGATCCTCCTTTGGGAAAATAGGTTTTAGAAGCCACTCAGTGTTTTGCCTGAAGATAATGTACTGTATGAAATGAAGATGTAGGCAAGAACAATGAAAGTTCAGCTTAGTGTCCCACGACTGGTGACTTTTTGACACACAAGAATGATCTCCAATTGAAAAGCTTGAGGGAAAACTTGAGCGCTCTGACTGTTAGAATCGATATACAGTTACCAGGTAAACTATGATATGCATAGTTAATTGCATTTCAGATAAAGGATGAATATTTTCTATAGTATGAGTAGATCTCAAATATTACGTTAGATATATTGCCACTAAAATTTTATTCATTATTTATCTGAAATTAAATTCAATATGGTGTCCTCTATTTTTATTTATTAAATCTGGCAGACTCCTTTAGTGAGAAGAGTTTAGACCTTCGGTGTAGTGAAGGCTGAAATCAACTGATCAATTGAAAACGGACATCGAAATGAGTAATTGCTTCACCTATTTGAGATGGAAGTAGTACTTCCTTTTTTTCTTCTTATTCCACCAGAGATTCTATATATTTATTCAGAGTTACTTTGAGATACTTAGGGAACACCAACACGATTTTATGAAGAACATAAAGTATGTGATGTCACACCTATGAAAATCTTTTACATATTTCCCAAAATATGTTAGGGGCTTCTGTCGGGCCTCTAGGGAACAGAAAACAACTCTACAGAGACAGTTAAATGGCATTACTCTGCTAATTTAATAGTTTCTCTCAATGAATTAGCTAAGGTTGATTTCAGTATATTTTCAAAGGGCTACAGTAAACTGCTGACTAAGAATGCCAGAATGGGGTAAACAAAAGGTTCCCTCAGAGTAGTTGCAAGGTAAATGCAAAATTGATTAAAAATAGAAGTATTCAGTCTTCTAAAGAAAGTGGATGGTTCCAAGGCCAATAGTAACAGAAAGATATGTAGAAGAGTATTCATAGCAACGTGTAAAGTCTAGCACAGCAAACTGAAAGCCACTGAAAAGGCCATCAAAAATACCATGGATAAATAATGAAATAATATGAGAAGCAAGAATGAATAGACTAAAATTGAATAGGTGAGTATGGCTGAATCTTTAACACAATGATGAGTGAAAACACAATTAACGAGGATAGTCAAGTATTTTAATTTTTTGCAAGTCTATACTGTTTTCATATGAAATACCATCACTTAAAAAGTCAAGGAAGTAATGGATTCACAATTCAGGATAATGACTGACTTTCAAAAAGAAAAGAAGATTGAAATCTGAGAAAGGTGCAACTTCAAAAATTGGGGGCATTATTTATATCTTACCCTGAGTTTAGGTGTCCAGTTATTATTTTTATTATTTATTGCGAGGCATATCCATTTTATGTGTATGCTAAATTGCTAATTCTTTAACAGAATTCACGTGCATAAACAAGGGTTCTTGCTCAGCCATGGAACCCCAAAACGGGAAACCTAGAACATCAAACCCTAACATGCCCATAAAAGCATTATCCGGGAGAGGAAGTATCTTAGTCCATTTTGCTTTGTTCTAAAGGAATATCTGAGGCTGGGTAAGTTAGAAGGAAAAGTGGTTTACTTGGTTAAAAGATCGGCAGGCTGGACAAGAGGCATGGCACCAGGTTCTGCTTCTAGTGAGGAACTCAGGAAGACTTTAATCATGGCAGAAGGAGAAGCGGAGCCAGCGGGCCATGTGGTGAAAGAAGGAGCAGGAAAAGAGGAGGTTCAAAGCTCTTCTGAACAATCACATCTTATGAGAAGTAATACAGTGAGAAGTTCCCCATTACCTGGAGACAAGGCACAAAGTCATTGATGAAGGATCTACCCCCATAATCCAAACACCTGCTACATGGCCCCACTTTCAACATTGGGCATCCATGTTTATGGCCTTTAATTTTGCTGTTATTCAACTTAGTTCATTAAAATATTTTATTTTAAACATCATATAAAGCGACTACCAACTAACGTGGGATATAGGTTCACCCTTCAGCATGATATTCCTTTAAGCGGGATTTCTTATAGGAATGTTATTTTTTGTACAGTAGTTACGATAATGTCAGTTATAATGATATACACAATTTAAAGGAGATAGGCCAGTTAAGAATTTGTATAATATAAAAATACCGAGATTAAAAGTTATCCAAGTGGACAGATATATGCAAACGGGAGAGCAGGTAACAGGAACCCTTTGAATGATCAGTCAAAGGCCCAGATGCAGGAATTTTGTTTTCTCCTCCATTATAGCAAACAACGTTCACTAACAGATACAGGTCTTCCAGGTACATCTAAACGCACAGGAGTAAGTTGTGAACTGCTACCTGTACAGTTTAAAGTGGTGTAGTCGTGATCGTCCTGTGATATTCCCATCACAAGAGTAAATAGTGAACCCCATGCAAGTAGTAGGAAGTATTAGTCTTTTATCATAGGCTGGACTTGAAAATGTTTAACTCCTGACATTAATATTTGTAAAGAGGCAAGGCATGGTGGCTCATGTCTATAATCCTAGCACTTTGGGAGGCTGAGGTGGGCATGTCATTTGAGATCAGGAATTTGAGATCATCCTGGCCAACATGGTGAAACCCCATCTCTCCTAAAATACAGAAAAATTAGCCATGTGTATTGACACACACCTGTAATTCCAGCTACTTGGGAAGCTGAGGTGTGAGGATTGCTTGAGCCTGGGAGGTGGAGGTTGCAGTGAGCTGAGATCATACCACTGCACTTCAGCCTGGTTGACAGAGTGAGACCCTGCCTCAAAAGACAAATAAAAATAATAATAATGAATAGTAAAAGCCAGGCACGGTGGCTCATGCCTGTAATTCCAGTACTTTGGGAGGCTGAGGCAAGTGGATCACTTGAGGTCAGGAGTTCAAGACCAACCTGGCCAACACGACGAAATCCCATCTCTGCTAAAAATACAAAAATTAGCCAAGCATGGTTGTGTGAACGTGGTCCCAGCTACTCGGGAGGCTGAAGCACAAAAATCGCTTGAACTTGGGAGGTGGAGGTTGCAGTGAGCCGATATCATGCCACTGCACTCTAGGCAGGGTGACAGAGTGAGACTCTGTCTCGAAGAACAAACAAACAATGTGTGAACAGCATATGTCCCCTTTTGCTATGTTTTCTCCAAAACTGACATGGACTTAGAGTGGGAGAATTCTGATGGTGGTTTGATCTAACAGCAAACTACTGAACTACTGTTTAAAATGTGAGAACCTTTCGAAAAAATTAACCAGGTGTGAAGGCATGTGCCTGTATTCCCAGCCACTCGGGAGGCTGAGACAAGCCTGGCCCACTCCTTAGGCCTGGGAGATTGAGGCTGCAGTGAGTCATGTCTGTGTCACTGCACCCCTGTTTGGGTCACGGGGTAAGACTCTATCTCAAAAACTTTTTAAAAATGAAATAAAAAATAAAGTGTGAGAACCTTTAAATACTATTTAGTTACACACTTTAAAAAATGGGGATCATTTATAGCTTTAAGCCAAAAGGTAAAAGGGAATGCATCTGAATTTTTATGCTTTTAGTTTTGCTGCTCTGTGGTTTCTATGGCTGTCTTAAAGACTGACACTGGTACATTGCTTTTCTTTCCCAACGCAGACACCTAGTTTGAGCACTTAGATCAGACGAAACACAAAATAGAAGAAATGCCACTCGTTTTCTCTTGGATCTTTTGAGAAACTAGCCTTAAATCATGAATTATTAAGATTTCATATTGAATGGCGGTGTTTTTATGTATGTAACTATCCAGAGAACAAATCAAATAGCTGCCTAAAACTTGCAAGTGCATGGACTTTTGGTATACTTGTGTTGGGAATCAAGAACCTTGAGCAGCAGTTCAGTCAGAGTTGTTCCTTCCCTTCCCTTCCCTTCCCTTCCGTTCCCACCCGTCCCCTCTCCTCCCCAAACCTCTCCTCTCCCATCCCCTCCCCTCCCCACCTCCCTTCTCTCCTTGCCCCTCCCCACACCCTTCTCTCATCTCCCCTCTCCAACCCCCTCCTCCTCCCCTCCACTCCCCTCCCTTCCCTTGAGCAGCAGTTCACAGTCAAGAGTTGTTCCTTCCCTCCCCTTCCCTCCACTTCCCTTCACTTCCCTTCTCCTTTCCTTTCCTTTCATTTCTCCTTTCCTTTTCCTTTTTCCTTCCCTCTTCTTCCCTTCCTACTCTCCTCTCTCCTCCCCTACCCCTCGCCTCCCCTCTGCTCCTCTCCCTTCGCTTCCCTTTCCTTCCTTTCTCCTTTCCTTTCCTTTCTCCTTTCCTTTGCTTTGTCCTTTTACCTTCCCTCCTCTTCCCTTCCTACCCTCCCCTCTTCTCCCCTCCCCTCCACTTTCCTCCTCTTCCCTACCCTCCCCTCCCTTCCCTTCCCCTCCCCTCCCTTACCTTCCCCTCCCCTCTCCTCTCTTTCCCTCCTCTCCCTTCCGCTCCCCTTCTCACCCCTCCCCACCCCTCCACTTCTCTCCCCTCCCCACCCCTCCCCTTCCCATCCCTTCCCCTGCCTTCCCTTCAGTTCCTCTCTGCCTTTCTCTGTTTCTCACTTTCTTTCATCTCACTCTGTGGCCCAGGCTGGAGTGCAGTGGTGCAATATCGACTCAGGCTGCTGTGCAGTGGCACAGTCTCGGCTCACTACTATCTCTGCCTCCCGGGTTCAAGATATTCTCCAGCCTCAGTCCCCCAAGAAGCTGGGACGACAGGCATGTGCCACCACACCGGGCTAATGTTAGTATTTTTTCTTATTAACTTTATTTATTTTACTTTACGTGCATATTTTATCTGGCATTCCTCCCTATGTTATCCCTCCCCACCCTCCCCTCCCTCCTGACCCTCTGGCCACAACTCTGGATTGTGTAAGCCACAAGCCTTCGCAGTGTCTACATGGTATCAAGTCAGTGCATGGAATGAAAGAGTGAAGGAGGTTTGGAAGCCTTCCCCTAGATCTCAGAGGATGTATGAGGAAACCTAGGTGCCCAAGAGGAAGCCTGCCGCAGAGGGAGAACCCTCACAGGGAGACTACTAGGTAAGTGCAGAGAGCAAATGTGGGGTTGGATCCCCCTCTAAGAGTTCTCCCCACAAGCACACTGCCTAGTGAAGCTGTGAAAAGGGGGCTGCTGCCCTCCAGACTCCAGAATGGTATACTGATGGGCAACTCGCATCCCGAGCCTGGAAATGTTACAGGCACTCAACTCCAACCAGTGATAGCAGTCACAGGGCTGCAATCTGCAAAGCCACAGGGATAGAGCTGCCCAAGGCCTTAGGGGCCCAATCCTTGCCCCAGGATGCCCTGGATGTGGGACATGGAGTCAAGGAGATTATTTTGGTGCTTTCAAATTTAATGCCAACCCTGCTGGGTTTCAGACTTGCATGGGGCCTATAGCCCTTTTCTTTTGTCCAGGTTCTTGCTTTCGAAATGGTAGTGTTTATCCAACGCCTGTACTGCAATTGTACCTTGGGAGCGAACAACTTGTTTTGATTTTATAGGCTCATAGGTGAAAGATGAGGCTCAGATGAAACGTAAGACTTTGAACTGGATGCTGGAAAAAGTTAAGACTTTTGGAGACTATTGGCAGGGTGTAACGGGATTTTTCAATGTGAGATAAACATGAGATTTGGGGGGCAAGAGGTGGAATTACATGGTTTGTAGGTTTGTCTCCTCTAACTCTAATTTTGAAATGCAATCCTCAGTGTTGGAGGTGGGCCTGGTGGGTGGTGTTCGGATCATGGGGAAAGATCACTCATGAATGGATTAGCACCATCCCCTTGGTGATGAGTGAGTTTTCATTCTGAGTTCACATGGGCTCTGGTTGTTCTGGTTGTTTAAAAGAATGTTCCCCACCTCCCTTGCCACCTTGTTCCCTTTTTCACCATGCCATGTACCTTCTCTGCCTTCACCTTAAGACACTAGTAAAAGCTCCATGAGGCCTCACCAGGAGCCGAGCAGATGCCAGTACCATGCTCGCACAGCCCACAGAGCCATGAGCTAATAAAAGCTTTCTTTACAAATTACCCATCCTCACGTACTTCTTTATAGCGATGCAACAGACAAACACAACTGTCCTAGCTATATCTTCTGGACAACTTGCTGCAGCACTTGTTGCTTTACCTTGAACTTTTGTGTTATGGAGATGGCTTCTTTCCTTACACATGATGAACCAACCTCTGCTAGCTTAATAATTTTCTTCTGCAGCTTGCTCCCCTCTCTCAGCCTTCACAGACCTGGAGAAAGTTAAGGCCTGACTTTGGATTAGGTTTTGGCTTAAGGGAATGTTGCGGTCCCTTTGATCTTCTATGCACACCACTCAAACTTTCTGCATATCAGCAACAAGGCTGTTTCAGTTTCTTATCATTTATGTGCTCACTGCAGTAGTACTTTCAATTTCCTTCAGGAACTTTTCCTTTTCATTGACAACTTAGTCGACTATTTGTCACAAGATGCCTAGCTTTGGCCTATCTCAGCTTTTTACATGTTTTCCTCGCTAAGCTTAATCATTTCTAGCTTTTGATTTAAAGTGAGAAACATGTGACTCTTCACTTGAACAGTTGGAGGCCACTGTTGGGTTATTGATTGGCCTAATTTCCATATTCTTGTGTCTTAGGGGATAGGGAGGCCAGAAGAGAGGGAGGCAGACACAGGAATGGCTGGTGGGTGGGGCACCGAAAAATCACACAACATCGAATAAGTTCATCGTCTTATACTGGACACAGTTCACAGTGTGCCAAAACAATTACTACGGTAACATGAAAGACGACCGATCACCTCTTGCTTGTAATCACCAGTCACCTCTTGCCTGTAATCCTAGCTGCTCAGGAGGATCACTTGAGGCCAGGAGTTCCAGACCAGCCTGAGCAACACAGCAAGACACCACCTCTGACAAAATTTTACCAAAAATAGGCTAGCCGGGTGCAGTGGCTCAGGCATGTGACCCCACATACCTGGAGGCTGGGGTGGGAAGATCCCTTGAACCCAGGAGGCTGCAGCGAGCTATGATTGCCCTACTGCACTCTGGCCTGGGTAACAGAACAAGGTTGTCTAAGAAAAAAGAAAAGATCATCAATCACAAATCACCATAACAGATAAAATTATAATGGAAATTTGAACTGTGGCAAGAATTACCAAAATGTGGCATGGAGACATGAAGTGACCATATGCTGTTGGAAAAATGGTGCTGATAGACTTGGTTATTGCAGAGTTGTCACAAACCTACAATTTGTTTAAAAAAAAGAAGCAGTATTTGTAAAGCACAATAATTGCAAAACGTATTAAATGAAGTGCAATAAAACAAAATATACCTCTACCACATGAGCTTCATTGAGAGGGAGACAGCGAGAGAGAGACAGAGAGCGAGGGAGACAGGAAGACAAGGAGGATGACAAAGAGGAAGTTGCCCCCAGCCAGGACTAGGACGAGCTGGAGAGGCTGCGTCCTCCATCTGTAGGGTCACACTGAGGCCTGAGCGCTCCTGCAGGAAAGCAAGCCTTTCCAAATAATGTCTCTGTGAGACCGGAGGATCTTCTTTTCTTCCAGGCAGGTTTGGATTTGGGGTGGATTTTGGTTTTGTTTCCCTCCTCTCTACTTTTTAAATGGTGTTCTTATCTTTAATTCACTTTCAGCCCTCACCCCTGGTTGTCATCTTTCTTGATCAACATCTTTTCTCGATTCCGTCCCCTTCTTTCCCCAGATCTCTTCGCTACCCTCAAACCCAGGGATCGGCAGTGTGGACAGGAAGTCACAGGCCTGGGACTCAATCTGCTCTCCTTCCTGGAGCCTGGATCAGGCCAGGAGAAGGAGATGGTGTTTCCCCAGCCCCCCAGCACTGAGGAACAATGGGGTTCATACCACTTCACCCTTCCCTTTCTTTCCTGCTCCCAGGACTGGGCCACTTCTGGGTCAGTGGACCCTAGCTCAGCTCACACTGAGAATATAAGAATGTGTGTGTGTGTGTGTGTGAAGTTCAACTTCTCCCTTTAGGGACCTATAATTCCTTCTGATGGCAAAGGTCCAAGTCTAAGTAACCAGGGGTTTACTCAGTCCCAAGCATGTTGGGGAGGTTGCATCAATCAGAGTTCCATCAGAGAAACAAACACTCCAGTTGAACAAATATAAGATGATACACATATGGGGGTAATACACATATAAGCGGGGACTTAGAATAGGGTCCACGCCTTATTAAAATGTGGAAGCCAGGTAATCAGTCTCAGCAAGGCTTCTGTCTTTGCATCAGATGCTGAAACCCAAGGTCAGCAGGGTAGTCGGGAAGAGGTGATGCAAAGTAGAGGAAGCAAGGGGAAAAGGAATCCATGAGGAATGTCTGGAGCTCACAAGGACTGTCTGGGACCCATGTTGATCTTTCACTGCCTCCAACCTCCTATTTCAATGACATCAATGCCCTTAACATAAAACTGGTATTCTTTTTTATGGAGCCAGTGAAGAAGGAAGATATGAGGGAGAACTGGAGCAGGTGTGGGCCCAGATGCTGCCCCACACCAACAAGGTAAGCCAGGATAGAAGCAAAAATGTTCATGAGCCACAGCAGCGCCTTTCTAAGCATAAAGCACAAAATAAATGTGGCTACTACTTTACCTTTGCCTCCCAAATCTTTCACCAAATGCCTCTCGTAGCACAAGCAATCTCAGAACCATTCAGGGAACTCTGAGTAAACTCTGAGTTTAGCTAAGAGAGCAGAATATAAATTCCCCACAGAGGCAGACCTTCCAAACAGCAGGTGGAAAAACAACTGCATAATTTATCTGCTTTCACTTTTGCTCTCATTGATAGCAACTATCACTTGAAATACCAAATGATGTTTTGTTAATATTATTGCTGGTATACATCCCATAAAGTTATACAAAGGGCCCGAAGCTTGGAATTCAAGTTTGTAACTCTCTTCTTATGGCCCATAAATTCTCCTTTGGGACTCTTTAAGATCCTTTCCTGACAGCAGAGCTTGGTGGGGGCTTCTTGAGGCTCTCAGACCAGAGGACAGTTGTCCTTAGCTTTGGATCTCAGTGAGCAGGAACTTTAGTTGTTATATTCCATTCTAAAATCTAATCTCATTATGCAAATTACTCTACACTTTCCCAAAAATTCCAGAGATAATATTCATCTCAAGAAGTATTACCAAAGAAAAGCCATTGCCAGGACACAGGATATTTCATTACATCCTTCTTTCCCAAGAAAAGACAGCAATGAATGGTGCAGTACAGACTGGGCGCGGTGGCTCATGCCTGTAATTCCAGTACTTTGGGAGGCTGAGGTGGGCAGATCACCTGAGGCCAGGAGTTTGAGACCAGCCTGGCCCACATGGTGAAACCCTGTCTCTACTGAAAATATAAAAATCAGCTGGGCATGGTGGCACACACCTGTGGTCCCAGCTACTTGGGAGGCTGAGGCAGAATCGCTTGAACCCAGGAGGCAGGCGGAGTGAGCCAAGATTGTGCCACTGCACTCCAGCCTGGGCAGCAGAGTCAGACTCTGTCTCTAAAAAAAAAAAAAAAAAAAAAAACAAGAATGGTGTGGTATATTCATGGGTGTTAGGGAAAATGCAATCTTCTGCATTCATTTACACAAATAACACATATAAAATAAAAACAAATATTTTTATTGAACAGTAGCTGGATATCTAGTAACTTAAATTTATTTTAAGTAAAGCTTAAAACAATTTTTAAAACAATTTAAACTCATAAAACAACTGAGAGAACTTTAAACAATCCATGGATGTCAAAGAGGAATTTTCTAACAACTATATCAAATGGTTATATGTAAGTATAAAACAATTTTTATTGCAACAATTTTTTGAACAATTTAAACTCATAAAACAGCTGAATTTTAAGCAATACATGGATGTCAAACAAAATGTTTCTAACAGCTATATCAAACGGTTATATGCATGTATAAACAATTTTTATTGCAACTTATTCTTAAAAGTTAATTAAAATATATTTTTTCAAATAGGAGAGATGTTTATATTCCTAGCTGGCATCTTATAGGAGATGTTTGTCCCAGGAGGACTTCCTGGAATGCAATGCTGTGGGAGTTCCCATGCATAAAATTTCAGGAAAATTTAATGTGCAGAGTACACAATGTCATGTGATTGAATTCAACTTAGTTCTTACCAACTTCAGTGTACCAATATTATTAACCAATATTATTAACGTATGGATTCAGAAAATGCAGATAATCCCAGGTTATTTGCTCTGAGGGGATGAATTACCTGGGTAGGAATTCATCTACATACTGCTCTTGTTTGCCTTTTCTCAGGCTGTGTGTGTGTGTGTGTGTGTGTTAGGAATTAATCTAAATACTACTTTTCTTTCCTTTTCTAAGATTATGTGTGTGTGTGTGTGCATGTGTATGTGTGTGGCCAAGTGTCAGTATTCAAATAACAAAACTATGGTTTGCTTTAGTTTCCCCCTAAAGAATAAACACATTTATGAAACTTTCAAGTCAACTTAAGAACTTGATCTTCAAAAACAATTGTTAAAAGATGAAAAAAGTAAAAAGGTAATAGTTTTCAGAATGTTAGAAATGAGTAGATATATCTAATACGGCCATTAATTTTTTCAACAAAATTAGGAAAATTTAGAGGTCAACTATAAGGGAATAAAGAAAAAGAGGCATAAATAAGTTGTGTATGCACTCATATAAGGGGTAACAGGTAACAAAAGAGGCATAAAGAAACAGAGGAAAGGAATGAGAGACAAAGAATGTGTGGAAGGAAGAAAGGAAAGTCAGGAAGGAGATGGAAGAGATGGCTTTTAGCATATATTTGGAAAACTAGAAGACAAAAAGCAAATCTATTAATCTATTGACAATTCTAAATTAGTCAAACTGAATTGTAAAGTCCAGTGTACTTAAGTGGCATCTAGCTGGACTGGATATGAGGCCTTCAAGATGGTAAGCACTGCCCTTGATCTTGGCCCTCCTCCTCAGATGTATCTGACGTGCTGGAAGCCTCATCCAACTCTTCATCTGGGAACGCAGCTCTGTGATCTCTCTTGCCAGGGTGATGACCTCTCTGTGACATCTGTTGCGTGGGAGGCTGAAGCCTATAGCTCTCAAAAATGCCAGTACGGTACAAGGTATCTGAATCTCGTTCCCGCTTGTTCTTCTTAACCACATCTTTTAACCCAGCAAGCTCAGTGGCAGCTTCAGCTGTGGGTGTCCAGATCTTGACATCATGATCTAGGCCACTGGTCACCAACATAGGTAGGTAAGGGTGGGGTTCAAGATGGTTTACTATACCTTCTCTGTCCGCCTCCATGTACTGGATGATCTGGCAAGATGATTTCTCCCAGAAGAAGATGTGCCCACAATCACTACCGCTCACGACAAACTCACTCCTGGGGCCGTAGAACTTAACATCTTTGATCGTGATATTATTTCTGTGCCCCTTAAATCTCTTTGCATACTGAGCACCATCACTGTGAGAGGAGTTGAAGAGATAAATATCTTCATCACTGTAGCTGGCCAGGAGCTCTGTGCCATCATGGCTGTACACAACGCTGGTGATGTTTGTTGGGAAATCACAATCAACCAGATGATGAGGAGAGAATTTCTTAAGTACGCCATTGTTCTCTTTCTCATCAATTCTCCTCTGGTCATATATCCGTACAAACTGATCATCTCCAGCCACTGCAAATTGGTAGGTATTGGCAGGATTCATCGAGATTGTATACAGCCCCACTCTCTTCCCCTTTTCTCTTGTTACCACAATTTTTGAAGCTGGCTGGTGTTGTCTGAGGTCAATGGTGAAGACAACGGCATCTTCACCTGAAGTGAGGAACTTATAAGGAGAGTCTGGTTCCAGAGCCAACTCATAGGCAGCTCCCTTGTGCTGCACCACATGCTTCGTATTCTTGCAATATGATGCATTGATTAGTTCTGCTACCCGTACCTGCCCATCGTGGCCACACGTGGCCAGTGTGGAATCACCACAGTTAGGAAGGAACTTAGCCTGGATGCCGTTAATTTGGTGACCACTCTCAAAGTTCAGTAGTGGCCGCTGCCGCACCCAGTCCCACACTGTCACCTTTAGGTTACCACAGCTAGTGGCCAGCCGGGTGCCACGCTGGTTCAAGCATACAGTACTAGTAAAACCGAAATGGCCTTCAAGATGATATTGCAGGCGGAAACGCTGCACAAAGGCTCTTGCCCCACAAGCCTCATAGACAAATCGGGTACTTAAACCCAGCTGCCACTGGCGAAGAGCAGGAACGACCTGCCAGCGAGGTCGGGGCAGGGCAGATGTCTCTGCAGAAATCCACTCCTCCAGCACCGTATCCTCCTCTAACGGACACTGCTCATGGTTGGCAGCACCGCATTGTGAACACACCTGAGACTGTTCCTCTTCCTCATCCCCTCCCTCCACGCTCTCCTCTCCTTGCTCCTCCCCTTCTCTCTCCTCCTCTCCCGGTAAAGGGTAATAAAATAAGCTTCCACCGCGCCTGAGGAAACGCGCCTCCAAGCTCTCAAGTTCGACGTCTTCACCTGAACTTTCTCGGTCAGTGCTTCGACTTTCTGTGCTGGCATCGTTCCGGAAACCACCATCCCTCCTATCACCGCCATCTTGGGTCGATGGCTCTGCGGCCGCCATTTCTATGTCTGAGGACGCCTCCGGCGCCGCCGCCGCTGCTCCGGACTGCTCCTCTGGGCTGAACAGGCTTTCAGTCCCTACGTCTGGGAAGTCATCTGTGCTGCCCTCTTTGTGGGACATCTTGAACAATGTTTGCTGTAGCTGTTCTGGAAAAGCAAACCCCTAAAAGCTCAGAGGAGAGAGCCGGCCTACCCTGAGGACGGACGGTGGCAGAAAGCAGTAGGTTAGCAGCAAAGAGACACTAACCGGATTGGCTAATGAGAGTCACAAACTAATTACGTCAGTACGGGGGCCCGTGAGGTTCAGAAGGCTTCTTACCCGCTCGTCTCTTAGCGGCGTGCATCCAGACTGCTCTAATTTTTCCAGGCCCAGAGCCCCACCTCCATGAGATCTTACACTGTGAGTCGCTGTGGTTTTTGTGAAGATTGAAACTTGCTGCACTTTGGAAAGTGTTCTCATCAGAACGGTCACGCAATGAATGCAAAGAACTCTGATACTCTTAGTCCTGTCACCAGACGGCAATATTTTGGCATGACGGTGAGGTGTGTACAATAGGTGTATCTTAAGCTAGACATAGGTTCTCAGATGAGGATGTATGTTTGATTAATTTAAGAGAATGATCCAAGGAAAGACAGCAGACACCAAGGAAGAGTGAAATTTCAGCGGAACACCCCTCTGAGAATAGTTTTAGCACGATCCTCCTGGGGAAACTCTGGAGAGTAAGTTATGTCTGAGTTATCCTTACACCAGGCAAGCGAGTGAACTTTCAAATTCCGAGACTGTTCAGTCATTGGTTAAAGGCCCCCCTGGGAGGGATGAGCATATCAACTCCCAGATGTCCCAGATGCTTTAAAATCTCTGCACCTGTGGGTGAATGCAGCTTCAGCAGCTTGAGAACTAAAGGGCTGTACATTAGTACTGATGCTTGGATGGGAAAAAGTAGATGGTACAAAAAGGGATTCGAAAGCATCTGCCAGGAGCATGAACATTAACAGCCACAAGGTAGCTAACAGTGACTATTAGAAGGGGCTGTTACTACTGTGTACGCTCACGAAAATACAACTTAAATACAAGTTTCAGAAGGGTATAGAAGCCTAATTTGGAAGGTGAAACTACAAGTAAAGTCGTGGCGAGCAAATGCTATTCCCTTCCCGTATCTTTTTAAATGATGGTTCAAATCGCACAGTTGCCATACCCTTCTTCATGCCAGTTGAATGAATAATCTGGGGCACAATGGTGAAGAGCAGAGGCTGACAGTCTTAAGCAATAAGACTTGAAAGTCAACAAGAATTTTGACTCAAGGTCTATCAATGAATGGCGTGTCAGCAGATGTGAAATCATTAATCTCCTTATGCATCAACGGAGCTCTTGAGTAACCAGGACCAATGTTAATGATCAGTAATATTTTGAAAGGAATGTTCTTTCCTGAGCAGTAGAACTCAACAGGGTATTAAAAATATTCAGTAAACCATGCTGTAAACAAATGTGCTGTCACCCAGGCTTTGTTATTCCTTTTTTTTCTCTTTTGAGAAGTTTCATTCTTGTTGCCCAGGCTGGAGCACAATGGTGTGATGTTGGCTCACCACATTTCTCCCATTGATGCCTATGGTAGGCCTGTACTTTCTGGTCTTTATATGGTTGGATGGCACTGTGTGACCAGATTTACCTGCTCCCTTGTGAATAGAAGTGATGTTTGTTATTACTGAGGTGGCTCATTTAATTGCTAATGTGTGGCCATCCATACATCGCTTTCCCCAGTTTGCTCATGACCTGCAATGTTCCAGATGTCAGCTAGTCTCCGTGAATATCTACCATGAACAGAAAACATTTCTCCCATTCCTCCCAGTAACCCATTATAGACAAGTGGCAGAAGCAAAGTATCAACTTTATCGTCATCATCATTATCATTTTTGGAAAACTGGGGAATTTTTATTACTACAGAAGAGCCTAATCTATCTGACTAAGACAAACTACATTGTTGATTATTTATTTAAATCTTACAACTTAGGTCAGAATATTAAGTTATGTTTTATATTTAGAGGATGACAAAACATCCAAGTTATTAAAGACTGTTAAGTTTCTGACTCTCCTTTCACAAGACAGTAATGTTTATTGCTCCTAACAACAAAGTATTCAGCATAGGGTAGGTACGTAGTAAGTATTTTTTCTGGCGAATTCGTGTATTAAAGCTGTATATTTACAAATGGATATGCAGAAGAATGAAAAAAAAAATTCCATTGACCGTTCCATGGAGGATGGATAATAGTGAATAGCCTAAGGGAGATACCTATTTTGAGTTTAATGTCAATGTAAAAATCTAATATTGAACACTTTTACATCAGGGTGATGCAAACATTGCCTAAGACTCAGGCCAAAGATCATTCTCTGAAGTTTTCATAAGAAACAGTAAATTTATGTTATCTTTGTAAAGTGTCCAGCTGAGGGAAGGTAGATTCAAAACCATGTTTAAAATGTTAAATTAAGGTTGGGCACAGTGGCTTATGTCTGTAATCTCCGCACTTTGGGAGGCTGAGGCTGGCAGATCACTTGAGGTCAGCAGTTCGAGACCAGCCTGGCCAACATGGTGAAACACTGTGTCTACTAAAAATTAGCTGAATGTTGTGGTAGGTGCCTGTAATCCCAGCTACTAGGGAGGCTGGGGCAGGAGAATAGCATGAACCCAGGAGGCAGAGGTTGCAGTGAGCCAAGATCATGCCACTGCATTCCATCCTGGGTGACAGAGCGAGACTCCATCTCAAAATAATAAAAGGAAGCGTTAAATTAAGATGTAAAAATGAAATGAAAATGTATGTTTATATGTTCACGCTAGGCTTGCTTTTCTGTCATATATTGGGGTTTAATTTAAGGCTTAAAATTGCTTATAGGAAAGTCTATTTGCCCATAATATCTAAGAAATCTAAGTGAGATTAATTGCTAAATATCATACGTCATTTCAACTGCATTACTTCTTCTCATAATGAGTAGATTACTTTTCACTTTTGTGAGTTCGTATACAATACTGGTAGAATTGAGAAAAGTAGGTAATTGACCACATCCAGATGGGCCAAGATATTTAGCTTGTGGAGAAGTAGGCCAGTCGCACCACAATTAAGACATCTGCCTGCTTAATTACTGCTGCATTAAAAGATAGCCTTCACATTTTCTTCCAGCTCTACTGTTACTGCAAAGTTTCACTGTGACACAGTGTGTCAACCCAGAGGGTTAAAATTGCAACATGTATTTCTTGATAGTTGTCATATCTGTATACTTTACATGTTTTGTGAGAAACTCCTGTTAAAATTAAATCACCATAATATTATTGTCTCTTCGCTAAACACCATAATTCAATGTAAGATGTAAAGTGTAATTGATTAACTTTAATTCAGCCAGCTGTTGTATTTTAAGAACAATTTGCTTTTCTCAGCTTATCTTTCCCATTTTTCCTTCCCATGTTTCTGAGAGAAAGAGTTATTTGGTCAGCAGGAAACATTTTTGAACATCGAATATCTAAAACTCTGCAGCCACAAACTTTAAATGGTATCCATGTTAGGCCTCTGCTAAGGACAGAGATTTTGAATCAGGGGTCATTTTTTTGTGGTTTGCTGAGAGATTCATTAACAACAACAATAAAATTGTGAGCAGTTCAGTAAGCTTTGACATTGGTGAGGTGTGCACTGAAAGTATTACCACGTGTTTGCCTTTTCTTCTTAGAATCAAATTTCTTCTGAAAAATTGTCTGAAGATATTGTTTTCAAAATAGTAAGAAAGAAAAATAGCAAAGAAAAGTAAAAGGTCATGTTATGTCATTCTATTCTTTAAGTAAAAAAACAATAAACCGATAAATAAGACATGATGGACCCTGCAACATATTCCATAGCAAAACAATATTAATAGTACAGAGTTAAATTTTAAGTATGAATAAAATTTTCCCACTGACATTCACCGTATTGCTTTGACATTCTGTTTACTTCTTTTTAAAAAGCACATCTGTCCAGGGGCGGTGGCTCACGCCTGTAATTCAAGTATTTGGGGAGGCCAAGGCAGGTAGATAGCTTGAGCCCCGGAGTTCGAGACCAGCCTGGGCAAGAGATCCCATTTCTACGAAAATACAAAAATTAGCTGGGTGTGGTGTCGTGTGCCCAGCTCCTTGATAGGTTGAGGCAGGAGGCTCAGTTGAGCTCAGGAGGTCAAGGCTGCAGTGAGCGGAGATTGCACCATTGTACTCCAGTCTGGGCAACAGACTGAGATACTGCCTCCCACCCGCCAAAGAAGAACATCACCTGATTAAGTACTTTCTATGTAGTAGAGGTGCGCTAAACATTTGTTGAATTGATTTAGGTGAATTTTTATTTAAAATTTTAGTAAACACATATCCCTATAAACTTTCCCTTTTGTCAACATTTGCCCTAACTCATTAAGTTACATCTTGGAAGGTTCTATTAATAAAATATATTCCTGTGGGAAAAAACATATCTTGAGGAACTGTTTAGGCTTTATCAGAGGTTAAATGGAAGTGCTTTCCAACTGTACAAGAAGAATCCTAAAAAACATATGTAATCTGTCTTCCCTTGCTACTTAGCTCTACATACACAGGATGTATCCAATGTTCTGTGTATTTTGTGTCTAATTTAGCTTCTGACAGAAATTTCTCTTAATGCACAGATACATTTTTATGGTACATGTCAGTAGTTATTTGCAATGTGGGGTTTTGAGCTTTTAATATTAGCTTGATTTGTGTAGCAGTGGCTTGAAATTTGAACCTGAGCCATGAGCATCCTTTCAATACAAAGCGAGGAGCAAAAATCCTACTGACCTTCCCCGCCTCACAGTGGAGTCAGTATACTGCAGCAGCATGTTTTGATTGATTGACACAGATTCACGCCATCTTTTACGTGGGAGACACTGCTAGGTGGTGAGGAGGGATAATAGAAAAGGGATGTGTGTTGCCCTTGAGAAACTTCTGCTATCTAGTTGAGAAGCCGGGAAATACATGGAAATATATGGGACTTATATGGAATATTGTTCCCATATAAGGCAAAGAACGTTTATGACAACCATTGTGATCTTATCAACTTTAGTCTCAAGATACTTTTATCCTCATTTTTGTTACACAATGTATTTAGTTATCTTACTGTTTTTACCTACATCATGCTAGATCCTTTTTATTACATTGCAAACTTCTTGAAGAATCATATTGTGAGATGCTTGTTTTCATGATTTACGCAGTTGGTACTATCAGAAAGCTTTCCAAAATATAGTGAGTAATCAAGAAATATGGTGAGCCATCCATGGTATTCTCTGTTGCATCATGAAACTGTCCTTCTGGTTCACCTCCTCTATCTTTTGTCTTTTTCTTAATCCCTGAAGGGGTGTGGTATCCTTAGGAAAAAAAAAATCGCAATGAGGCAGAGAGAAAAATAAAATCATGTTTTTCAGTTATGTCATGAATGGCTGACA